CTGTTATCGTACACAAATCTATGGTAAGTATTATTTTGTAACTTGATAAAAACTATAATTAATTAACATGTTAAATTAAGTTATACTATTGATCGTGCATAGAAAAATCATTACAATTGTATGGGTATGTACATAGCTTAAATCCTTCATCAAAAGAAGTTAACATAGTCTATATATATATCATTGACTTTAGGATCCAGGAACAGAGAATAATCCCTACTTAGGCTTTGTGTATAAATAGAGCAACATTTGTGTCGCACGGCAATACTGCTAGGCAAGCCAAAGAGGGTGGAGACCTAATATTAGCAAGCATATGCGGAGCAATAGCAGCGGACGAAAACGCCTACGTTAAGATTGTCGAGAAATTGCTGGAATTGGACCCAAATGATGATGAAAAAGAGGATTACAATGCCTGCTCACCTAATGTACAATGGGTGTGACCCACGTCTATTCGACCACGTTGGGACCCAAATTGATTCAATTCATATATTTGCCTTGAAAAGTTCATTTATTAGTTATAAATTAACAATTTAGAACCCAGTAACTTAAAATGCTTAGAATAATGAACCTGCAATCTTCAAATTCAATTCTAGCTCCGTCTAGGAGCTCGCCCTCAAATCCCTAATTATATTTAGTTACCTCCTTTTTGGTGATTTAAAAACTAAAGAACAGAGTTTTCTTTTTCCCCTTAAAACTGAATCTGCAAGACAAGCAAGGTAACAGCGGAATAGCATAATATAACATGGAAATCATACTTAAGCCGTTCAAAACATAAGAGTAAAATTATTACATAATATGGAAATTAAACTAAAGCCTTTGACAACAGATATGTTTTGGCTTCAAACACTACTTACATCATTACTCTAATAAAATATTGTTTTATTAGTATGAGACTATAAATACTAGGTCTTTACTTCCTAGTTAATATTTCAATGTCCCATGGTGATCATGCAACGTAGACCTTCCCCTTTCAGCATATACTCAAATGCTTTGTTGATCTCTGAAAATGGAACTTGGTGGGTAATGAATTTCTCCAGCTCTAGCTCCTGAAATTTTTTCCAGCTCACCAATTAGCTAAAAACATAGACTGATAAATCTAGAAATAAAGTTTAACTTCTATGCCCTCACGGCCAAAAAGACACGAGTAAAACTTCATTGATATTGTAAACATTCTTTAAAATGTCTGTGTATAGGTTACATTGTTATGGTGTAGAACCACCTTATTCATGTACTTGCCCACCACAGATGGAAGGTCAGTTTTGGGCTTGTAGTTGCCAAAGAAGGTGCCCTTGAGAGTCCTCTCATTCAACAGATTCATTGGATGAGTTTTGAACGCATCGTCTTTGTTTGGCACGCCAACAAGCACCGCCACACCCCAACCCTGTAATCAAGTAACATTAAGTTGAACTTACATTTGTCTCTACCGTGTTAGAACGTAAGAGATCAAGAAGATTTTCAGATATTAAGTTTACATCATGAACACATTCAAAAGCAGAGATCATGGCGTTGACATTTCCAGTACACTCGACA